GACCCATGGAGTGATTTTCCAAGGTTATATTTTACACAGATAGAACATCTGTTATACACTTTATGAGCTACAGTAGGAGGTTTTTAATAATATTCTTTAGTCTATGAAACCATTTTTCCAAGACTCCAATATATTAGCTCATATACATGTTAAGCTAATCTGTTTGGGTCAAAGTTTCCCCTTTTTGTTGTCATATTTTTTTTTCTTTTTTAGCTCTCTACTGGAACTGTAAAAGAGAGTCTTTTATTGATTTAATAGAGAGAAGAAACATTCTGCAGTCTGGATAATTTGGCTGTTTATTACTGTTGGTCTAGCTGTAGTATCAGCTAAATTATTTTTTTGTTTCCATGGGTGGCCTTAGACTGTCCTGGAATTTTGATAATTGTCAATTGTTTTGGTTGTTGTATGATATCTGATTTAAATTCTGTAACCTGTTTTCCATTTTTATGGGCTGCCCTGAGAAACTTAAGAAGACTTGCTGTTTCTACAACCTTCCAAAGTTATGAGCTCTACACCAAAGGTATAGCTACTGTAGTGTAAATACTGGCTGTTTGATCTTTGGCTCATTTACAAGCTCCTGTCAAATCAATTCAGCTTGTGGGATAGATTCTCCTCAGGCTAACAAGAAACCCAAATTATGTTTACCATGGAAGTTATTCTATATCCAGCTTGGTAATGTCCCTGTTCATCTTTCAGATAAGAGTCAGTATTATCATTAAGGGTTTTCTGTAAATCATTCTGAGGAACAAGAAGGTGGTCAGTAAGCAAAACACAGTTGTGGATGTCTTCATCCTGTAAAGAGGGTAATAAAGTTGTTGGGTTAGACTGTTACATTGACTTAAAGAATATTAGGCACAGAAAGCAGGAGTACTTTAAAGAAGCCAGTCAACTGACCAGAAGTGTTGAGCATGATAAGAGTTTAGTAAGGATTCAACAGAATGAGTAACATAAATAAAGGAGCATCTATAACTATCTCCCCTGTTTGCATCACACGACGGTAGCAGAGATGGCTGTCATGCAAGGAGAGAGCCCTTTAACTACTGAGTTTAATTGTCTAGAGCTTCTTTAGCTTGTTTCCCTTCAGGGTTCCATTGAGTTGGATCAGATTGATCTGATCTTAATAAGAGATATAGAAGCTGAGCTTTTTTTTTTACATTTTTTTTTTAAATTGGGGAATTGGGGGAGGGGAACAGCCAAGTTGTTGTCCTTCAATTTTAGTTGTGGAGGGCACAGCAAGATCAGCTCCAAGTCCAGTCGCACTGCTCAGCTCAAGGTGCTGTGTTCAATTAGTTGCAGGTGGGTGTAGCCACCATCCCATGTGGGAGTCGAACCAGCAGCATCATTTTTAAGAGTGCATGCTATATCCACTGAGCCTTCCGGGTGGCAGCTCAGCTCAAGGTGCCGAGTTCAGTCTTTAGTTGCGGGTGGGCGTAGCCCACCATCTTCAACAGGCAACCTTGTTGTTAGGAGCACGTGCTCTCACCAGCTGAGCCATCCTGCCACCTGCTGGCAGCTCAGCTGCAGCTCAGCTCGGGGGCGGCTCACTGGCCCATGTGGGAATCAACCCGGCCACCCCATTGCTCAGAGCTCGCACTCTTGAGCAAGCTCTTAACCAACTGAGCCTTTCGGCTGGCCCCGAGGCTGAGCTGTAATGAAAAATTTGGAACCTGGAACCTAATTGAGACAGCATCCAATCAAACCCAGGAATCCTCTAAGCTGTTTGTTTTTTGTTCTTGGAAGAGGAAAGAATATTATTCCTCCAAGTCTTTCAGGGTTAATTAGTAGCCTATCTTTAGATATTAGATAACCAAGGTATTTTACTTGGTGTAAACAGAATCAAAGATTGCCCTTTGAGTCCCTGTGTCTTTGATGACTAGCTATTGTAATAGGTAAGTTCTGTCCTCTTAGGAATCTAATATATCCTAGAGCATAAGAGTAAATCATCCACATACTGGATTAGAGTAGAATTTCTGGGAAATTTAACATTATTTAAATGAGTTTTTTAGTATCTGAGAGAAATAGATGGGACTCTGGCATACCCCTGGGGCATTACTATCCAAGTAAACTCTGATCTTCCCAGGTGGAAAAACAATTATAAGCCCCCATTTTAAAGGTAATCTTGTATAATAAGCTAATTTTAGCTACTGTATCAGGCCTCAAAGGATATTGGCAAATATAAGGTAGAGGCAAAGCATTATCAATAGTTATTTAAATAGGAGTAGCTGACAATCTTGTCAGTTATGTGTACTGGAAAAAGCCTAAAGTTGTATTGGAACATCCTGTAACAAACATTCAGTCTCAAAACTAGTTTTCTCTCATGTACTTTTTTAAAAAATAATTTTCTCAATCTGTGTTATTTAGTCCTAAATACCTTTCACCCTCCTGGAAGGATATGTGAGCATCATTGGCTAGAAAGTCTCACACTGTCAGGTGAGTTGGGGCAGATTTGAGTAGTAAAACTAGATATTGTCCCTCAACATTTCCTAATTGGAAGGGAACAGATTCTGATTTATAAACAGACGTCAGTTGATTACATATCCCTACCATTGTCCAGAAGCTTGACTCCAAGGGAGAGAGGGCAACTAAGTCAGTGTTTACAGTTAAGTAGCCCCAGTGTTAGCAAGAACGGGGAAATGTCCTCATAGTCCTTGGAGCAGCCCTATGCTTCCTTCTATTTTTTTCTTTTTCTAAATCCCATTTCAGTTTTCTATAATCCTTAAGGAGACTTGACTTTTTACAATAAAAGCACGTTCCTCTACAGGAGTTTCCCTAGCAAACCTTTAATAAATCTGTAATTTTACTCTCAGAAACCAGTTGGTGTATTAATTGGAATAAATTAGAAAAGTCAGGATTACACATTCATTCTAACACTTAATTCAAATTCCTTTGTGAACGCATCAGGGTCCTAGAGAGGGTTGGGGGAGTCTTTAGATTTCTTAGTTTTGTCTGTATACAACCACGGATTCCCCTCCACCCGAGACCAGCTCCTCTCCAAAGGGAGCTGCAACAGAGGTGCAGAAGAGAGAAAGAAGAAAAGGGGAGCAAGTCTGGACAAGTAAAGCACATATTGGGACATTCGAAGAGGGAAAAGTGGGGTGTTGGCATTTAGCAGCTTCGAAACCTTTAGTTCAGAGACAGTCTCAAAAATTTTCTTACTAACTTCCTGGAGAGAAGAACATCTGCCTGTAACATTTCAGAGGCTTCTATTGGGTGTCAGAAAAGTCATGATGCATTTTTTCAATGAAAAACAGAAAAAATACATCATGACTTTTCCAACAACCCAATATTTGTCAATTGAGGTAAGCCTCCCATTCCATTCAGTTTGACCTTTAAGCCAGCTTTTTCTAATTGTGCACACAAAACATTTTGGCTCTCTTAAGTTGATATCACTTCTAGATAAATCTTTCCATGTCTGTAAGTACTTGTAAGATTCCGAGGAATTATATATCTATCTGCAGGAGAATTATGGCGCTGGAGTCTGGGAGCTTGTCGGCCTTTGAGGCATGATTTTCCATGTTAAGTTTTAGTTTTCTTTTGAGATCTGTAGAGTCTGAACAAATATCTAGTGACATTATGTTGTGGGTTGAAGTGTGCTGCTTATAGTTTGAGCTCCAAGGAGCTGTCACCTCCCGAGTCGCTTCAACCCTCTTACGTGCCTCGGTTTCTCTCTCCAGCTGTCTAGTACAACCGTAAGGACTCGGAGAGCTAGGTAACCAGCCTTTATGTGTGCGTCTCCAGACGAGTCAAATATTTAATTACAGTTGTGTTGGAAATCCCTATGGGGCCACTGCACGTTTTGAGGAGTACCCTCAAACACCTCCACAAAGATTCTTAGTCACCTAAGAATACCCGAAATTTGAACTGGAGAGAGTAAATGTGCCTTATCTTTGGAGCTGAACAAGTTTAGACTCTCATTTATCCAGCAAAGTTTTGTTCAGACTTGCAGTAAACAATTCAAATTGAAAAGCCAAAATTAAAACCAGCCACCCATTTTTTTTTCTCCTCTCCAAGAGTTACTTTAACTCTTGTCCTTAACCTGGGTTATCTCAACCCTGCCGCCTCGAAGATTTAAATACAACTCAAATAAAGTCTTGGCCACTTACCTTAAAACAGGGAGGTCCAGAATTCCAAGAAAAACTCACCCAAGTTCACCCGATGCAAAGCAGGGAGCCAGTGGGGCACAATGGGCCCCTGCTGGTACCTAACACCAAATCCAGGTCCGCAGGGTGCTCCTGGGTAGGCTTCTTTGGAATCCTACCCAACTATGCAAAGTAATGTTGACGAAAAATATCTAGCCTAAGAGAAAGCTTATAATAGTTATTTGAGCCAAACTGATGACAATTGCCAGGAAGCAAAGTCTCAATGGATTGAGAAAATGCTCCAGAAAATGGCCATTTTGCAACTTATTTTATACATTAGTATCCAAGAAGGAGGGTTACATGAAATCCGTTGGTTGTAGATTAAGGGGGTGGGAGAAAGCAAAGCGGGGAATCTCTGGGATTGGATAGAAAGTAAAATGGAGAGACACACACTTCTTTTACATTGGTAGGTACAGGATAGCTAATAGCATTTTACAGCATATAAAGATAGTATTTGGGGGACAAGATAACAATGAGAGATTTTGTAGATTCCTGCTCTGGTATGGTGGGTTGTGTGCCCTGGGGGTCTGGAAAAAGGGATTACTCTGATATGGCAAGGGTATGTTGTCTTAGATGCAAAAAAGATGACAGACAGGCTTAAGGTAAAGATGGACCTTTGTCAAGGAAACTACAGGCCAAGGATGTGACTTCCCACCATGACCCACCTTAGTTAGGAATTTTTATGTTCATGCCATCCTCTGTGGTTATTTTCAGTCTCCTGAGCTTGTCAGATTTAACATGCGGCCCCTTTTTCATCCACACGCCAATCCTGTGTATGTGGATTTGTAAAGCACACCAGCGTATTAAAGGTCCCAAGTCCTATAGAACCTTTGAAGTGTTAATGTGTTTCCAAAACAAACTTGACGATGGAACTTTTTTTCCTCAATACCTGTTAACGTTAGGTCAAACTTGGAGAAATAATGACATTACTTTGCTATACTCTTGTTGACTGAAAAATACTATCAAGTAGGTGTTTCATCACTAAATGGATTTATTTGGGAAAAAGAAAGTGTTGCTACCCAGTTCAAGCAGACATGGCAAGCCCCAGGCACACTCTGACCCGTGTGCCAAGATGGAGGGGTATTTATAGAAGGGAAATGGAAGTTAGAACCATAGAGCTTTATTATAAACACAGAGTTCTTCCTGTAGGGTTCTTGGGTGTAGGGTTCTCGTGATCACATAGAGTGTGAGAACTTCCACAAGCCATAGTTCCTCCCATAGACCCTCCCGATTGATTATGTTTGCTTAAAGTTCCAGTTAGTCTTTATCACTCTGTACCTTGTTTTGTTTGGGTGCTAGAAACTCACTAAGGTATTTGTATCACAGACTAGGTAGGATATAGGTTCTGCCTTCCTGTGAATAGGAGGCCTGGGATGTCTCTTTGGACGCTGAAAACACCGTGAAACTGAATTTAGAGCATGTTGATACTTCAAACAGTTACACTATGCATTCTTTTTTCTCTTTTTCAAATTATAGTTGGCATTCAATGTTTTATATTAGTTTCAGGTGAATGCATCCACTTTTCTGTTGTCTTTGATCAGTAAATCCGTTTTGTTTGTGATTGTGCTTATAACTATTGATACTGAAGGACTGTGGCAGTGAAGGTCAGACTCACCTCCACCTTTGATGGCGATGTGAAACGTGATACAGCACGGAGCCCGAAAATGTTCACCAGTCGCAGTCCTCAAAGTATACTAGAATTTGGATCAACATTGAATCCATCCTGAGGCTATGTGGCAAAATGATCTGGATTTTGCTGCCTTTGTTTTTATTGTAACATTGCTATAAGATCAAGTGTTTCTCAAGGTCTGTGATAAGTGAAAATGCCAATGCAATGAAAGGGTTGGAGGAAAGGTGAAGGGTGTGTGGACAGCCTCCCTGCCCTAGTGTATGGGGTCTCACAGCACGGGAGTGGGGGCAGGGAGCAAATGGGGATCAAGGCCCACTGGCCCCTTTTTCAGAGCTTCACAAAGGCTTTGGGAACAGACCTGAGCAGAAGACTGTCTGGGAAATAAGCAATTTTTAATGTAATGGTGGTTTTTGTTTTGATTTGAAATGTTCAGTTTTAAGCTGTTTACATTATTGAACAATAGTGACAATCCCAGCATCCTCACTCTTCCAGTCAGCTGACATCTTCTAAAGAGCAATCCAGGTCAGAGAAGAAAAAGCCAGTTTGACCACGACAGAATTGTCAGTCTGCGCAATTAACACCCCCCTGTTACACGAGGTACTGGCTGAAGGTGTTTTTTTCAGGAGTGGTTCAAAGTGTCCACCTGCACCGGATCCCATTGGTGCTATTGTAGGGGGGACCCATGGGTGTGGGTGTATGGTGGGGCGGCCACTCTCGGCTTCCTTTCTGTCTCCAAGCTGCTTTGTTAGTTAGTGCCTGGTGGTCAGGACCCTGATGACAAACCCTGCTGTCAGTGTGGCTGATGCTGCCCCCAGAGCAGCCCCACGACGGATGGCCAGCTGTTTCCCTGACAGTCTGCTGGAAGGAGCTGAAGGGGCATGGGCTGCTTCTGAAGTTGTGAAGATGTCCATCTGGCACTCGGGCCTTGAATATAGTGTCAGGGTAACACCAGGGGAGATGCCCGTAGCCACTGCAGAGGCAAACAGAAGCAAATTCAGCTGTACTGGGGGGGGGGGGAGCCTCGGAGTCAGGAAACCTAGGTTAACGGCCTCACCACAATTGTTCTACTGTAGGACTGGAGAATTGATCTCTATACCTTACAATAGAAAATGCCTGTGCAATAGAAAACTGCATGCCTTACCTATTCTGTAGCAGGGTCGGAGGAGGAGATTATGTGGTAAAGCATTTCAAACTAAACTTTACAGATAAAGTTTACTACTAAGATCAGATAAGGCATGTTGCTGTCTTTGTGACGACATGACACATCAGATGTAACTTTCACATATGGTTTCAGAGAGCATATAAAATGGTTAGTTGATCATGCCTTAGCTGCATGACAATTTAAGCTCCCAGAAATTCAGTTAGCTGGGTCACTATTGCACTAATCACAGCCTCCCAGTATGAGATGAAGTCACTGAGATAACTAAGGGGTTTGTGCTATGTATTGCATGCCTGGCTCTCAGCACCAGCCCGGGGGCAGACAGACACCTGTGCCTTGAATTGGGGCCATCACTTCATCACAGACATTGGATGGAAGCCAGAGGTGCCTCTCTGTCTGATGAGGTGCAGAGAGGTAGGCAGGGGAAGGGGTGTGTGTGTTCATTTTCCCTCTGCTCCCCTCTTCCCCCTCGACCCCTTTCCCAGCCACGCCAGTTAGTCAAGCCAGCCAGATCTTCCTGGACGAATAGCTGTGGGCAGGATGTGGCCTTCTGCCCTAGGCTGGAGTTAAGCGGTGAGAATGTGCTCTAGAATCTGACAGGTCCATGCTTGAATCTTATCTCTTGCGTTTTCCAATCCAAGGACAGTGGGGAAGAGCCCTAAGCTCTCAGCCTTGCTTCCTCATCTGAGAATGGGGCTATGGCTTGCTGCCTCACAAGGCCAAGGATATGAAGTATATTCATGTCTTCCTTGCACTGAGGACATTTTCATGCTGAGAGGAAGAAAGGTAGTTTGGGCTTTCATGGTTCCCGATCACCTGAGGTGCACAGGGCAGCCAGGCGCGACATACCCTGGCATTTGTGTGGATGCAGCAGAAGCACCCAGACAGCATTACCTGAAGATACAACCGCTTTCTCAGGCCCGGGTCTGGGGGCTGTGCTCGTTGGGCTCTCAGTGCTCTGCTGCGGCAGCCCCACCTGTTTCTGAGCCTAAAGGACAGAGTTTGCTTGGGTCAGTCTGCCAGCCCTCCCATTCACCACTGGCCTTGATGGGGAAGGTCACCAAGAAGAGGCATGACAGCAGGTGTGACCCAGGAGCTGGACCCGAAATGGAGGCCCCCATTGCTTCCCCTCTGCTTGAAATGTGTGTTCTCCTTGCCTTCCCTGCTCTAGAAGCTGCCCAAGGACCTGGCCTTGAGAGAGCAATGTGGTGATGAGACCCTCTGGACCATGTACTTGATTGACGCCAGTGAAGGCCGCTATATAAACTTTTAAGATTCTGGCAGGCGGGTGTGGAGATCTACTTGTCTTGCTGCCACCTCATATAAGTTCCCTTGCTCTTTCTTCAGTCTCACCCTGCCCTCTAACTACTGGGGGATGGGAGATGGGGGCTTCAGTTTACACCTGGTAAGCTCCCTGACAGGAGGTTGTGATGCAACAGGCCTCATCCATGGCCTGCCTTTAAAACATTACAAGCTAAAGCAGTACACGTTCATATAGTCATACTTGGGGTGGGGCTTTAAAGTGGTGGTGTTTTAAATCTGTATTTATCCATTGTCGTAGATGCCAAGATGACTTGCTGTCTATGTGAGAGCAAAACCATATCCTGCGAGGAATCGGGTCATTGAGAGAATACCCCGCTCTGTGCTCTACATTCAGACTGAGCTGTGCCTCTGTGTCTGAGAAGCAGATGCTGTCCTGCCCTGTTTAAAGAGTTTTCCAAGAGCATGGTGGACAGAGTGATTTATTATCTCTTCCAAATCATGACACACTCGGGTGCTCATGTAGGTTCAGACTAGTTCAGTTGAGCTCTTCGCTTTTCTTTGGTTTTCAGCAGCTGGGGCTTGCTAAGGGTGGTTTTTGGTGTGTGTTCATCTTTGTAGCTGGAGAGTGTGCTGCTTGTACTGGCACTATCTGGGGTCTAATTGCAATGACAGGAGCAGATGTTGAGGCTGAGGTGGCCCCTCTGTGACCCCACAGGTCATTGCTGCTGAGGCCCGTCGTGCTCTGGGCATTTCTGGTGAGCAGTCACTCCACCTGGTTGGCCAGGTGACAGTGTCCCAGGGCGGGGGCAGCTGACTCACTCACCTCCTCTGCAGCCCGCTTCCAGTTCATCTGGGCAGTATAGGCAATAAAGGCAGCAGCTGCCAGCAGGGCACAGACCAGCATGCTCAGCCAGAGGCCTGCAGGAGACAAGTGACAATGGCGCAAGTCCAAGGACCACTCAGGCCTCTTTCAACTCTTTCTCACACCACATACCCATGATTCTCATTCTGACCACAAAGGTCAGAACAATGCCCAGTGGGAAGCCGATGACATAATACGCGATTGCATTCACAATGGCTCCGAAGGCTTGCCGGCCAGTTCCTCTCAGGACTCCACCATAGACACACTGGGGAGGGAGGCAGAAGGGGTGGGAGGTTGGTAACGATGAAACTGATGGTGGGCCTCATACAACATGCCCTTTTCTAAGCAATTTACATCTCACAGCCTCACTGAACTGTCACAACATGAGGACGGTGCTCTTATCCCTGTTTCTTCCATGAGACTGAACTGGAGAGGTGAAGTCACTTGCCCAGTGTTACACAAAAGCACGACTCCAGAGCCCCAGCCTTCACCTCCACCCCATTATTGCCTCACTAGAAAGTACAGGTACTCAGAGATATAGAGGAAAAACTGATGGTTGCTAGTTGGGAGGGGGTGGGGATGAGGGAGAAGGGGAAGGGATTAGACAGTATAAATAGGTAACTACAGTATTGCCACAGGGATATGAAAGACAGTTCAAGGAATATAATTAATAATGTTGTAAATATTTTGTAGGGTGTCAGATGGTCACATGTCTTGTTAGGGAAACCACTTCATGGATGGGGTAGAGGCTTGATCATTGCACTGTACACCTGAAGCTGATGTTGTATAATATTGTATGTCAACTATAATTGAATATATATACAGTCACGGGACGTGGAGTATAGTGTGGGAGTGGAGTCAAGGGAATTGTAATAGATATGTATGATATGTGGGGGGGAGTGGGGCAGTGGATTGGGGGAGATGGGTTGTCATTTTGAGGGGTAAAAAGTATAACTATTGCACTGTGTTGTACAGCTGAAACTAATTTTAAAAAATGTTTGTTTCACAATAAAAAAAACTAGAGTCGGCCAATTAAAATCACTTAAAAGAAAAGAAAAAAAAATACAGGTAAAATTGTGACTAACCACCAGCTGGTCTGGGAGATTGGACTAACTTCATATGGAGATGAGATGTGTTGGTTTCTTATTGCTCCTATTACCGCAAACTTAGTGGCTTAAACAAGACATGTTTATTATTTTATAGTTCTGGAGATTAGAAGTCCAAAATAGGTCTCATTGCACTAAAGTCAGTGCTGGTTCCTTCTGGAGGCCCCAGAGGAGGGTCTGTTCCCTTGCCTTTTCCAGCTTCTGGAGGCTGCCTGCATTCCTTGGCTCCCAACCCCCAGACAACGATGGTACCACTCCAACCTCTGCTTCTGTCATCACATCCTCTCGGACTCTCTGCCTCCCTCTCTCACTCATAAGGACCCTTGTGATTACATTGGGCCATCTGGATAATCCAGGATCCTCTTCCCATCTCAAGATCCTTAATCACATCTGCAGAATGCCCTTTTGCCACATATCATTCACAGGTCTGGGATTAGGATGTGACATGTTGGGGGGCCATTATTCTGCCTACCACACATGATAAGCGACGGTGTTGTCTTGTTCCATGTGAGACAACCAGCCCTGGCCCGTTCTGGAGAAAGTACTAATGCTTTGCTTTATCTTACTAGTCTGATCTTCCCAACTTGATCCCAGATGTAATGAACTAAAGAACCATAGGCACAGCACATGCTTGGTCAGCACTATTGATAAACAGATATTTGGTTATTTTTATTTTGTTAAGATGAAGAATGTGGAGTATTTTGTAGTTTGCTTTTACACATTTGAGCAAAGAGGTACTGAATTGGGGATGGGAGATGTATGCCACTTGAATTGTGAAATATGGTGTACACCTTTCTTACATATCATGACATAGACAATGATCTTTTTTGGTTAAAAAGAGACTTCTCCCAAATTATGAGTGATGTGCTCTGGACTAGTGTTTCTCAACCCGGGGGCAGTTTTGTCTTCCAAGGGACATTTGGCAATGTTTGGAGATGGTTTGGTGGTCACAACTGGGGGATGCTACTGACATCTAGTGGGTAGAGGCCAGGAATGCTGCTGAACATCCTACAGTGCAGAGGGCAGCCCTCCTGCAATAAAGAATTATCCTGCCCCAAATGTCAGTAGTGACAAGGTTGAGAGGTCCTTTAGAACATGGTGAATCACAGCGATAATTTCAGCAGCAGGCACACAGGAAGGGCCAATAGCTAAGCTAACCTGAGGCTGTGGGCCTGTTTGGGAGAAGCAGTGGACCAGTGGACTAGTCAGGGACTCAACAGAGAGTGCCATGAGGTGACACAGCCAGGGGAATTGGGAAGGGCTTGGTAAATTCCCCATGTATCCCAAGTGACTGGAGGCTGTGCATATATGTAGCAGAGACTGGAGCAGGCCCAAGCCACCCACACATCCCAGACAGTGGAGCCTGTGCATGGTCAGAAGAGACATAAGTGGACCCAAAAAGAAGTAAAAACTGGGCAGACTTGAAAACAGCCTGAACTTTGAATGTGCCCCCAGCCCACACTCAGATCCTTCAGCAGAAAATGGAAGCTTTACCAAAGGTTAGAAGTATCTGAACACAATCTCCAATCAGTATTTGGCTGAACATGGAGCTATGCAAACATAGGAGTGACCCCTAGGAAGTTAAGCTTAAAAATAAACAAGAAAATAAATAAACAAACAAACACAAACTAAGCATAGATAGCAGCTGCAGGTTGTGGAGGAGGCTGGATTCACAGAAATAGTCCTGGCAAGTTACTAAAAAAAACAACAGTGTTTGGGAAAGGTCACACACAACATTCTCCAGGATGGACCTATGCTAGGCCACAAAACAGGTCTCAATACATTTTTAAAAATTGAATTCATACTTTGTATCAACATATTTTATATGATCTCTGACCAAAACAGAATTAAAATAGAGATGTCTACCAGAAAGGAATCTGGGAATACCTTAAATATTTGGAAATTAAACAACACACTTCTAAATCCATCTGTCAAAGAATAACTCATAAGAGAAATTTTAAAACATTTTGTTTTTGTTTTTGTTTTGTTTTTTTTTTTAAGCTGAGCCATCCTGCTACCTGTTGGCAGCTCAGCAGCTGCTCCGCTCAGGCTGGACTCGAACCGCTGTTGCTCAGAGCTCAAACTCTTGAGCGAGCTCTTAACCAACTGAGCCACTCGGCCGGCCCTAAAACATTTTGAACTGAATGAAAAAACAACAACATATAAAATTTATTAGATGCAGCTAAAGCAGTAAGTACTTAGAGGGAAATGTCTAGTTTTAAATGCCTAGATCAGAAAAGAAGAAAGGCCTCAAATCAATAGCCTCATATTCCACTCTAAGAAACTAGTAAAGAAGAGCAAACTATGCCTAAATAAAGCAGAAGGATGAGAATAATAATGAGTAGAATGGAAATCATTGAAATGGACAAGAGAAAAGCAACAGAAAAATCATTGAAACCAAAAATTCTAGTTCTTTGATAAAATGCATAAAACTGACAAACACTTACCAAAGATTTGACATTGGTAAAATATGACCAAGAAAATAGGAAAGCAAAGACACAAATTACCAAAATCAGGAATTAAAGAAGAAATATTACTACTGATCATAAAGAAAAGGATTATAATGGAATTTTATGAGCAACTTCATGACAAAGAATTTTAGACAATTAGTTGAAGTGAATAAACTAGAAAGACACAAATTACTAAAATTAACTCAACAAGAAATAGAAGGTGAATAGATCTGTAACAAGGAAATAAATTGAATTAATTAAAAATCTCACAAAAGCCCAGGTCCAGATGGTGACACTGATGAATTCTGTCAAATATTTAAAGAAAAAATAATTCCAATCATTCACAGACTCAGAAAGTATAAGAGGAGAGAACACTTTCAAAATCATTCTGTGAGGCCAATGTTGCCCTGATACCAAAGCCAGATCAAGATATCACAAGGAAAATAAAAAATTGCAGCTGGATATTCTTCATGAGCATAGAAGCAAAATTTTTAACAAAAATATTAGCAGACCAAATTCAGCGATATATAGAAAAGATATGCACCATGATTAGGAGGGGCTTATCCCAGGCATGCAAGGTATAATATCTGAAAATCAGTTAATTTAATCATACCATATTGATAGACTAAAGGAAAAAACCCCACATGATTATTGCAACAGATGCAGAAAAAGCATTCTTCAAATCCATGAGAAAATGTTTCAACAACCTAAGAGTAGAAGGGCTCTTCCTCAACCTGATAAAGGGTGTTTATAAAAACCCTACAGATAACATATTTAATGCTGAAAAACTGAACACTTTCCCACTAACATTGGGAACAAGGCATAGATAAAAGATCTTGCCACTTCTATTCAACATCCTTCTGGAGGTTCTAGCCAGACGGAAAGCAAGAAGTAAAACTTTTCATTCACAGATGATATGATTCTATATGTTGAAAATCTTAAGGAATCCACACACAAAAAAACTACTAGAATGAGTTTAACAAGGTCACAAGATAAAAGATCAATAAACAAACATCAATTAGATTTCTATAAACCAGCAATGAACAACCTAAAAACAAAATTAAGAAAAACATTCCATTCGCAATAGCATCAAAAAGAACAAAATAGTCTAGGATTAATTTGACAAAAATAATGCAAGATTTGTCCATTGAAGACTACAAAACATTGCTAAATTAAAGAAGATCTAAATAATTGGAGAGATATTCCATGTCCATGGAAAATTGTTAAGATGACAATTCTCCTCAAATTGCTCTATAGATTGGACATAATTCCTTTCAAAATCCCAGCAGGCTTTTTAGTAGAAATTAAAAGCTGATTTAAAAATACATATGGAACTACAAAAGATCTAGAAGGGCCAAAGCAATCTGAGGGGAAAAAAAAGTTGGAAGATTCATACTAACTCATTTCAATATTCACTAAAGCTACAGTAATTAAGACAGTGTAGTACTGGCATAGGACAGGCATGTAAATCAATGAAACAGAATTATGAATCTAGAAATAAACCAGTACATTTAATGACCAATTGATTTTTGACAAAAGCACCAAGAAAATTAACTGGAGAGAGGATAGCCTTTCGCATACCAACAAATGGTACTGGGACAATTGGTCATCCATATGCAAAAAGATAAATTTAGATCCTTAGCTCATAACACACATGGAAATGAACTAAAAATAAGTCATAAACCTAAGTAAGAGCTAAAACTATAAAG